TTCCGCAGTCGTTTTTTAATGTTATGATGACAACATTAAAAATTCCCAGTTGATTCCGTGACCAACCTCATTCTTCTTGCTCTTCGCTTTCTCATCTCTTTCTCCATTAACACTTTCAAATTATTTTTAAATCTTGTTCAGGTATGGTTACTGGCTCATTAGTTAACAGCGAAGGACGGCGTGCTGGAAAGGTGATCGCGTGCACCGGGAAGAAAGGTCTGGCTTTGGTTCCTATTTCACGGAATACTTCACCAACGCATTTTCAGTCGATGAATGAAGATATTGAAATCTTCCTACCTCCTTGGTGGCCGGCTGACCCTTTCAGTGTTTCATCCCGGTCATTATGAAAACCCGAAAATAATGTCCTGACCCCAATTCGTCGAATTTGTTACTTCGTGCATATATTATAGGTATAGGAATACTAATATCTCTTAGCTACATAATACCTCGTTCAAATCCAGGTTTTTGTTGTCGTCAGAAAAATGCAACGCCTAAAATTTTTCTTTGGAAGAGTATTTGTATCTACTTTAATGAGGGATACTTGTAAAGAAAGCATTTTTGCTAGTGTTTTCAATAATGTTTATTATAAAAATTTTGCTTGCTTCTCATTTTCCATCTCCCGTTTAATAAAATGTCTCGTACTATGGGTTTAAAAGCACTACAAAACCAAGTATTTAATATGCAATTATGATGACAGCTTTTATCAAACAGTGAAAGTCAAATATTAATAACTAATTAAAACAAAACATGAAATGCGATAATTTTGAAAAGGGAAATCAGTTAAATCCCATATCTCAGAAGGATATCCATAGATGGGGCTGGGCTTGGCACGGGGAGCAGAGCATGCATGGGTGTGAAAATATGCGTCAAGTCAGCACATCAGGTAATATTCGGCAATATTGGAAATCATTTCAGACAACAAATTGTGTTATAAGTAATACGGAATTACATTGATTCATCAGGGTCTAAGCTCTTCTTTGTTTGACTTTCATGCCACGCTTTACGAATTGTCCTTTTCATGTCGTCGTCTCCTTCGTCATATAATTGCTTCATCATGTTCATCAGTGACTCTTGTGGATCTGCTTTTTGGTCAAATTTGGGCGCGCTAAATAGCAAGAGGTGCAAAAACCAAATGAAAAGTTCTAGGTCGACAAGATAAAAAATTGCTTTCTGAAAATAAACCTCTTGAAAAGTATAAATTAATTAAAGTGTCCTTACATAACTGATACAAAATCTGACCTTTTCTCTTTGCTCTGCATTTCTGCTTTTGTCAAATACTTCCAATTACCCTCTTCTTTCTTTTGCATCATAATCAATAAAAGGTTAGTTTTTTGCTGCAAGTAGGTAAAATTCATTCTACTGAATCAAAATAACTCGTCGACTAATATAGAAGTTTTATGAACTGTGGTATGGTGTAGTATATATTCTGCAGAATCAAGAAATTTTTTTGTGTTTACACAGAAAAAACAAAAGTAGGACGTATAGAATAGGAACCACTAGTTAAAAGCGGAACTGTATAAGGCCAGCAAAAAGAGATAAAATATGAACGATCCAAACCAGATTCGAAAGACTGCAAGAAGACTGAACTTCGAAATATAATTTCCAATAGAATTTAAAAAGTGTGATAGCCTTAAAGAACTAATGACAGAAACTTAAGAATGATTAAAGTATTACTTTGAAAGAAGAGCTGGATGGGTTGATTGCTTTGAGTAAACCCTTTATTACCAAAGAGTAATTTTTTGAAGATACATCACGAGCACTAACTTCCACTTCACTGTAACCAAGAAACAAAAATGATGGATAACAGCTATCGATCGGACAGTGTGTATGAAAATGTGCGTGAATTCTAGGTGTACACCGCTATATAGAGATTCCTCTTTCTAACAGAACATAACTAAATTTTGAAATTGTAATCCATTCAATTACTACCTTTCCGTAATGTTGACTGCAATCTGTTGTTGCGGAACAGTATGTATCTCCGGAATCGTAAGATAAAGTTTTACATATTTGTCACTCTGATCCCAAGCTGAAATAATGATAACAGTTAAAGAAATCTTGGACTATGTAGCACTTAGCAGGGAATAAGGAAGCCCCAAACTGGAAAAGAAATATTTTGTTCCAACTGAGGTGAACTGAAATCTATCTGCTCAAAATCTTGGTTCCAAATATCAAATTTTACCATCGTGAAAGTAACGATTCTGTTCGTATAATCTGTAGTACTGAAGTTGTGAAAAAGTAATCTGTTGACTTCTTTCCGCATCGCTATGAATAGAGAAAAGGATAATTTCTAGTACCCTGGAGTATATACCACAGTAAGTGGAACTTCAAGAAAAGCTTCAATACCACAAATTACATAACTCATCTCATCAACGTATTCATTTACCGTAATTGGTGATTTTCACTGTCGCCAATGGTACAGCATTTGAAGATACAGCTTCTGTTCTAGATTGTTTTAAGACTGGTACATCACCACGTCCATCAACATTACTCGCTGCTTCCAACACTTTTATCTGAAATACAAAAGACAATACTCATTTGAAGATAACTATTTTGATTATTTAGTAAGTAAATGGGAATTGCGTTGGTTAAGAACACTTCTTAAGGTACTTTGTTTGTTTACAAAGAAAAAATGCTTCGTAATTAGCGATATTATTATCACGTGTAATTAGTTTGCTAATTATCCTTTACTAGATAAACAAAGAAGAAAAACAAAGTCTACTACCTTGCCTTCAATTTCGGTGATCTTTTCATCCAACAATCTCTTTATCGTCTGGCGTGATGCAATTGAACGCAAACGCTGCAGTTCATGCAAGTCATGTCGTAATTCAGTACGCTCTTCCATTTCTACTACTTTTGCAAAAACCAAAGTCCAAAATTAACAGCTGTAACAAGGCATACAGTTATACTCCGAAGATGAATATATAGCCCATTCCATGCATATAAAACAAATGATGGTGCCAAAGAACTGACATAAATAGATAATCTCACAGATAACCAATCAATAAACAATTTGCCAATTTCTAAAGCAATAAATTCCAGCCGGTAGTTCACCACAGAAATAAAATTCCTTTCTTGCATTATAATGTTACTCTTTTAACTAATATGTTGGAAATTTATTCTTAATTTAACAGAATTTTTCAAAGCAGTATTGTTCCGAAGTAATACTTTGGAATTTTGTTGGTCCTTTAAAAAAGTCAAAGTGCTGACTGGTCACGAAAAGCTTAGGAAACACTTTAATAACGTGGTAGCATTTTAGGAATCATAAAAACAAGCGTGCTGAACTAGACTTTAAAATAAAAAGACAAAAATATATAATCACATTCTTGTAAATCTCCTATCAAATAGACAGTCGTTTTGATGGATCAAAGTCTTAAAAATATGCGCTATTTTTCCACGTTAACTCACGTGAGTTCTAGTAACTTTACCACAAGATATACGTAAGTGTGACTCACGCGAACTCAACAACACACCTTACCACATGAGTATACGTAAGTGTAACTCACGTGAACTCACTGACATATCCTATCATAAGAGTGCATGTACGCGTATTAAGCCATCGCAAGTTGACCATCAAACCTATTCAATCGAACGACTTACTAGAATGTTCTCGATATTGCTTCGAAATTTCTTTCAATCTCTGTCGCCTCTTCATTTAGTGCGTCCTTTTCCTTTAGTCTCTTCCACAAGGTTAAACATGAGTTATTTGCAACATTTCCCAACCGCTATGCCTAATTATGTGCTATTTTGACAACTTTAGCAACCTCTGTTTCATCGTTTGCATTGCTATTTTATCGTTCTTTTTTCGCCCTCAATTCTTTTTCCTAATTGTTTTACTATCTTTGATCCATATCAACCATCCATTTCCCTATCTCGAGGACACATACACACACATACACAAACGCACACGCACACACATATACATATATATATATATATATATTTATATGTATATATATACATACGAATATACATACATACATAAATACATACATACATACATACATACATACATACATACATACATACATGCATACATACATACATACATACATACATACATACATGTCATACACACATACATACACACATATATATGTCTAAATCTTAACTGCATACACATACATGCATACTGATGCACGCATGCACACAATGAGACGTATCACACGGACGTGTAGTATTTTTGTCAATGAAGTAATATAAAAGTAGACATAGTCAAATTATTAAAGGTATAGTCCAACTTTTCATTTTTGTTTGACGTATTTCACGTATAAAAATAGTGGGAATGTGAGGTGTTTCAATGCTGAACAGTGAGTGATACGTGTTAACAAACGCGTAAAGTTGCAGAAATAATTTAACTCATTAATAATAGGTGAAATAAATCTGAGAGGAAATGAATTAATTCATCCAGTGAATTTCTTTTCTTTTAAGTTTCATTTGATTCAATTCAAAAATCAAAGATTATGCACAGAAATTAAAGATCAAAAAAAAAATGTTTCAAAGTATGATGAAAAACGAAAATGAAAGTAAAACACTATTTGTAGTGAGTTGATCAGTTTTATCATTTGATCTGCTGGATTTATCTCTTAGATCTTAAACTATTATATTGTGGTATCAAATTTTGTGATTATAGCAGTTTACCAAACTTTTAACATAACATTAAGCTTCATATTTAGCATAGCAGCTTAATGTTTAGCGCAACATTAAGCTCAATATTAGCATAGAAGTTTAATGTTTAGCACAATATTAAGCTTAGTTCTAGCATAACAGCTTATTATTTAGCTTAATGTTTAGCACAACAGGTTTATTTACTTGGCTAAAGATCAGTCAAGGTAAAATGTAATTACTTATTAACGTGATAAAGTTGAAAGGTTATAGGTAAATGATACTGTCTGAAGGCTGCCATCTAATACGTTTAAAGTGAATAATTATCTTGTATATAACTAAATATCTTACTCTTACTGAAATGAAACGATTAAAGTTCAATTTTCATTGTTTACTAATCGATGAATAACATATTCATTCACCTTTTTCTTTTAATTGTTCAAAACTTTTCAGTTAGAATGTTCAAATTCCATTTTTTTTTTCGTCTATTCTTATCAAACGTGCTAATTAAGATGGCGCTAAATACGCCATTTTGAACCATCTTAATTATCTTGTTATTTCAAGAGGAGGAAAAGGGTTACATATTTTCAGGCATTCTCATTATATCAGTATAAACACGATAATTTGAATCTATGGCTATACCCTGGTTATGTACAATATATTGATTGATTTGATATGTGATATATTGATATAGCATATTGAGATATGTATGTATTAATTGATATGCTTGTATTGATTGATGTGCATTTATTGACATGATAAAGTAATATGTGGTATATTCATATATAATATATATGTATTTCAATATATGCAAAATAATTTGAATCCATTACTTGATATACATGTATTCATCAGTATCTCCTGATGATGTACAATGTATTTACATGCATGTATTAAGTGATATGCATGTATTGATTGGTATCTGCGTATTGATTAACATACATTTATTGACATGATATGTGATATATTGATACATAGCGTATTGATATGCATGTATTGATATGATATGTGATATGCAATTGTGATATCACAAATGCGGTACTATTCTAGGATTCTTCAAAAATGGTTGACTCTCAAAGTATGAACTACCTATAATGTAGTATCGTTAATGTTTATGTTTGCTTTCATAAGTATGAGAAAATTTTGTTTATATACAAATCAACTAGTACTATTTGATGACATTCAAACATAAAGTTGAGCATTTAATGTAAAAAAGACATTTTATTACAATTCCTTCTAATAACTGTCTTTCATTTTATTAAAAATCAATTATTCTAAATTCCAATGCTTACTTATTTCATTAGCATATCAACCTGATGACTTTCATTAATCCTTTATCTATTACTTACCTATGAACTACTGTTGTCGTTTATTTAAAATAAAACAACTGGAAATGTATTATCTCATCTGGATCTTTTCTTTCTGAAAAATTAGTTGCTTAACTGTTAGTTAATTGTTAATTATGATTGGGTAATGTAAAATTGGTGAAATATTTCAATGGCTGATTATAATTAAGTGAAGATAAGACAATTCCAGTTTAATCAGAAGAAAATATGGGTAATCATTCAGTTGATAAGAATTTAGACAAACAGTTGGTAATGAAAATGAAATTAAATTAATGAATCTTTTTGAACAAATGAAATAAATGAATTACAACATTACAATTGATGGATGTGACCTAAAAGTTAAACAAAAAAAAAAAGAAAAAAACCAAAACAAACAATTAGAAAGAACAAGTT